AGAAAGTTTGGACATTTTTGGCTAGTCGCCAGTCCATAAATCGGCTTAACTCAGCTTCATACCTGCTTCTGGATTTTGTGGGCAGCAGTTCCGAACATATTTCGCTTGCTTTCTGTAAAATCTCTTCAGAATCACACATTTTCACACCCAAACTTCGGGAATTCAACAATTTTTGAAGTATCTAATCAACAAAATAAAGGAGCCGTGACGGTTGCTATGAAACTCAGCCAACTTGAAACATTGCATAATTTGGGTGACAACATCATACAAAAATCACAATCTAGAGACGCGTGTGCAAAGATGACATAACCGTGTACAAAATGTTTAGCACACGGCGTACGCAAAATACCGTTTTCAGAGCGTGTTTTCCGTGCGCAAAACCCCCTTTTGCAAGGCAGTCGTATAAAAATTTTTTAATGTAACTAACACTAACAATATCTATCCCCAATATCTAAAGATTTCAAAATATGTCACGGTTAATGGCTTAGTAATTGCTTTGATAAAAAATTATTGGTTCAAACCAATATTACATTGGTTGTAATGAGGAAGTTGCATCAAATTTTCTTTCGATGCAAAATTTATTTAAAGTACAGAAAATTACTATAAAAGTATGTTTCTATACATAAAACTCCTTTAAACTGGACTATTAATATGTAATTAATTATTGAAATATTGAATACAATTAGGTAGGACCTTTTTAGTACTGACGTCACATATGCCAATTAATAATAGGCAACCCCATAGTACACATGTAATGGAGAATTTCTCAGTATTTTTACTAGATCGATTTTCAACCTTATGTACTTTGGACATAATTGCCCAAAAAATGTCTTCTTTGTCATGACCTTAAATATCGCGATATTCTGGCAATATCAGAAATATTCAAGAAGCTTCAAACCCCAAGTGACTAATTAAAAGAATTATAGAATTTATACATACATAATGTCACACGTGTTGGTCGTTCTTAAATACTTAAATCCTTGGAAAAATAAATGAATTAGAAGTTATTCATTTTTATAGTATCTATGTAAATAGTGCACAAGGGTCAGATTCGATCTGCACAATTTCATCTATGACTATTTGTTGGGGGTTTCCTAAATATGTGACGTCACACTTAAAAAGTCTATTGATCAAGAAATTTGTGACGTCAGGATCCGGCATATGTGCTGAGGCTGCGTTTTAGTGCGTAGAGAATTATTTTGAATTTCTGTATTCTTTTATAGGAAAACTATCAATTATTAAAAATTAAAAATGTATGCACCAATTGACTTTTTACCAGGAAAGGAATTTAATAAGAGAAGAATAAAAAAATGTGCAAGTTCTCCATTATGTCCAATTATAAAAAGTACATGGAATTTGCCGAATATTTGATAATTCACATTTAAAAGTTATCCGGACTGGTATCTTTCCGACAATTTATTTTTATAATAACCACATTACGTTCACATTACATGTTCCATAGAAATAAACACGCATCATAAAAGTAATAAAAGGCATATGGTGTGCCAAACTCGCAAATATATCTTTAGAAATTCTCAAATTAACACAAAATAAGAAAAACTTCCTTCGATGGGGATTGTCATTTAATTCGTTTCCACCAATAATCATTGTTTACTTAATTGGAATATGTAAAGTGAATGTAGTATAGAACTAATAATACGTATTGTAGCTGTGCTATTTAAAATCATAGGAAATTCAAAAGTTGGCTATGAATATAAATGATCAGAAAAAAATTGGAATAAGAATAATTTAATAGAAAAAGAAACAACAGAAATAACATACAAAGTTATAAAAATTGTTCCAAATGATCACCGTTTTCTTTCAGGTATAACTTTATTCTTCGTCGAAAACTGAACTCTACTCTATCCAATAACTGCTGATTGTTTCTAATGAATCTGCATTTATCCGTAATGTAAATTATTTAATAGTGCAAATCTAAGACTGATGTTAAGGGAAAATATTAGGCGCTTGTTTGAAACGAATTGACATTTTCGTAGCCCATTATTTTTATTAGCTGACATTCATTGACCCCAGCAATTATGTGCTCCTTAAATTGGAACAATTACAGAGATTTTAATTTGGTAGTATCAATTTACGGACCAAGAGAATTTTTTTCTAATTAAGCCGTATTACTAAAAATCCTTTATAACTTTTGAGAAAGGCCATTCGGTTACAAGTTTCTGACTCAACCCAACAATATATCATTATTCTTATCAAATAAAATAAATCAATTTCTTGTGACAAATCAGATTTATAACAAAAATGCTTTGGGGATTATTAACAAAATAAATAATTACCAAAAAAACATAAAAAATTATTGTGCCAAAGCTGTGGTAATTCCATGTACATGGAATATAGGAACACCCTGTATATCCTGATTCCTTTTTTCTAATAAATAATATAACTCATAACCTAGAAATTTTTAGATGAAATAGCCCTGTCTAACGAGGACTTAATGGCGCAAGCTGTATCTTTTTTTATTACTGGACTCGATCCAGTGGCTTCTTCTATATCTTTCACTGTTTACGAATTGGCTGTGAACCCAGAGGTCCAGAAAAGACTTAGGCGGGAAATCTTCGCTACCCTGAAGAGCTGTGAGGGAAAACTAACTTACGAAGCCCTGTTGGATATGAAATACTTGGACATGGTTGTTCTTGGTAAGTATATAATAAAAAATTAAGTACCTAAGAATGTCTGTATCCATTTTTCGCGATGTGTTCAGCTACTTTCAATCTGTTTATGGCACAAAAAGTTCGTCCTGCTGTTGATCAAAGGGTAACGAAACTTTTCAATTTAGGTTAGTTTCCGTGGCACTTACCAAAACTTTTTCAAGGAAAATGTCGCTCTTCTCATTTTTAAACTAGAAATTCAGTCTTCTGGTCGGTATTTGTATTTGTTGTTGTTGTTGTTCGACTGATCCAAGGTGCACGCTTTGAAGCCACTGGTCTGTAACCTTTTTACCGTTTTTAATTGTTGCTGAACCAGAATTATGATATGCTTAGATCCATCAAATGCCTGTGCGCTAAAAATACTGATTCCTGTAGCTTATGAGTGTGTGTGTATCACTTAAAGGTGGATAAATCAGCTGTTGTATGGCATAGAGTATAGATACACTTCAGTTAATGGACCTAAATGGTACCAGAATTCTAGTGAGAGAAAAAAGATCTTGGAGAAGACTCTACAAGAAGAAACATAAATCTAAAAAAATCTAAATAATTTGAATCAAGGAGAACCCATAGAACTAGAATTATAATTTCCAAAAAACTCGTTCAAAACAATCAAGACAGGACTGCCACAAACCAAACACAGCAACGACATAGATCAGTGCATAGAGCCAATACAAACTTCTGAAAAATGGGGTGATGTGTCTTTTATAGTCCAGGAAACCAAGGATTTTCCCTCCGAATTATTTCGGATAGAACCGATTGACGTGAAATAGCTCAAGAAACAAAAGTTATATAGTACCGATGAGCGCTTTTGCCCAGGAGATGGAAGCCATCCCTTCTAGGGGGTGAAAAATAAAATATTGAAAATAACCCCAGGAATCGATAAAGCAATCAATTTTAAGTAAAAAGTATCTTATGAACATTTTTATTGGTGATTGAAAATGTACATTTTTTATTAAAAAAAAGACGTTTTTCAATAGTTTTTCTCGAATAACTCGGAAAATAGACATTCTATGAAAAAAAAACATCATGAAGCTTATAGAAAAAGAAAAAGATTAAGTGTTTTTTCATTTATATAAGTGCAATAGGTGCTGAGATACGGCTGGTTGAAGATTATTTCATGTCCGCCAAAAACTGAACTGGACGCATTTAACGTAAAATAACTAAAAAAAATCTATTTTTCAAGAAAAATGCACATAACATTTTTTAAAGTACTTTAAAAGGTCTTTAAAATGAACTTGACTTTAAGTGATTAGCATAAAAAATTAACAGAGTTATGATCAAAATAAAACTGTTAATTCGCTTTTTCGGAAAAAAATCAGTACAAAAACTGATAAATTTTTTAGGAGATTTAAATTTAAAGGTAATCCTTCTACGATTTACATTTTTTATGTGCTAACAATATATTATACAAGTTTAAACGGTTTAAAATGAATATTTTTGAAAATATTACATTTTGATTGAATAATTTTTTTTAATTCCAAAACAAATAACATATTTTTGAAAATAGCTTTAAAAATAAAAAAGATACGAAATATACTCAAGAGTAGAAGAGTTTAGATTATTTTTCACAGAATATTTTGTTTTTTTTTTGTGTAGGATAGAAATTAACAGAGATGTCGCTGCTAGAAGTCTGCAGCTTATGGGAAGGTCATGTTCTTCAGACCCTTTAACCTCAAAAATAATGCATTAAAAATATTCAATATTACAGTACTTTTAGCTGTCGAAATTTTCCATTGTTGGATCGTCTTAATAGCTTTAAAATTAAGGAAGTTATATGTAGTTAAAGAAACCAGCGGTACCTCTTACCGCTTCAATTTTCGGAGCATATCAATATTTTGGTTATCCACAACTTTGGAGCATTCTATATACATAGAATACCTTCACTTTTTCCGTTTAATCTTTTAATGATTCTACTTATCAACCTATGCCTAAAAGAGGTCTAACAATTACAAAATGTGTTATTTCGTTAATAAAAAAAACCTTATTTTCGTTTTTTAATATTATATCACTCATTGTTAGAGATAGACCCAACAAACCCTATATAACTATGCTCGACAGGGAACGTTCTATTCAAATATGTAAAAATATACAGGGTGTTCCATTTAAATTAACATCTGTGGCCATTTTGTTTGAACTTCATTTATTTTTCTACTATCATTTTCGAAAACTTCATGAAAAATCGTGCAACTTTTGTATATCACACTTTTTTATAACTCTTAAAACAAAAAAGTTGATAGGGTTGTCAAAATATTGTGAATCACCCTGTACACACGTAGAGATATTAGGCCAGTCCAGTCGAGTAAGACATCGTGGTCAGAATCTAGACAAACATTATTGAATAAATTTCTTTTATCTTTTGTAAAACTCAGTGGGAAAATACTTTTATCTTTTGTAGCGAACATCGGCAATGTCAAAAACTGCCATATCCTGAAATTATTCACATTCCCTATTCTCTTAATTTTTTAGAAAGCTTCAGGAAATGGCCACCATACACAATAATAGCTAGAGACTGCACCAAACCTTACACCATAAATCCAGTTCTACCTGGAGAAAAAGTGGTACGCATAGAAGAAGGAATAGAAATTAAATTGCCCGTGTATGCCATCCAGCACGACCCCAAGTATTTCCCCGAACCAGAGCGTTTCGAACCTGATAGGTTCAGCGAAGAAAATAAAAAGAATATCCACCCTTGCACTTACTTTCCTTTTGGCTTGGGCCCCCGTACCTGTATCGGTGCTATGTTGTCTCTGGTAGAGATAAAAGTGATGTTGTTTCATCTTCTGCATCGCTTCGAAATTGTTCCCGTGGAAAAAACAGCCGTGCCATTGGTGTTTTACAAGAACACTATACTCAATTTAAAACCTGTAGGTGGCACATGGCTTGGATTCAAACGATATGATAGACGACGTGAATCTACATAGAAACGATGAGAAGTATTTTTACCGTTGTATGTGCTTAAATTACTCTCTAAAATTAGCAAATAACGTACGAAAACAAACACAATTACATTTAGTTGTAAAAAGATGTAAACAATATATCTGATCGACAATGCTTTGAATATGAGGCATAGATACAGCCGTGGACAAAAAAAGTTCCCCAAAAATGTTTAAGGGGTTCAAAGTACGAAAATGATTAAATTCTGTTTTATAAAGAAACAATTGAATTTTATTGTCCACAGCTGTAGCAGGTTATCAAACTCTTTTATTTACCTGAAACCGATAGTGAAACAAAAACAGACCTCATAGCCCAGTGAATGAAATTTGTAATACGTGTAAATCAAAAAGTAATTCGTTTCAGATTGAAACTTGGTTTAATCGTTAGCTAAGATAAATTTGCTATAAATAGAAGAAAATCGTCTCTAATCTGCAGTAAAAGTGGTATTTTGTTACCCTTAAGAAACTGAAAATTTGGTAAAAAAATATTTATTTGTTTACGATTTTTTGAATTTGTTTATTAGAAATAGCATTTTTTCAATTGCAAAAACGCGGTTATTAGCGTTTTAATAAAGGGCCTTATGAGGGCTCATTTGTTTCGTTTTGACTTATATTTTCAAAATATGTAATTGGAAATTGTAATTTCATAGGACAACCTCCTCAAAACGGCGCATAAACAAATAATGTAATTTGTTTATAAGGTTTTTCGTGGATAACTTTGCGATGAATGAATATTTTTTAAAGCCGCTTTGATATTAGTAATCCTGGTAATTTTTCACAAATTTAAAAACAAATTGTTCTAGGACCATTTTTATCCGAGATAGCGTTCTTTTTAAATTCATAACTCGTTTATTTATAAACATTATGACTTGAAATTTCGAGAATAAATCAATCAACCCTTAAACTTCATAATAACGGTTGAAGATATCGAAAAAATGCATTTTATAGTAATTTTTAACCCTTTAAAAAATGTCCTCGAATACATTTTTACACCTGGAATGTGGTTGGTGAAATAAGACAGAAACGTTCCGTGAGTTCAAATCTTAACTGCCCGATAATTTTGCGATATTTCCGGTAATTGTGGACCAATTTTAACTTATAAGTATAAACAAAAGCGCTTTTTAATACAGCTAAAAACTCAATTTTTGGTGATTTTTACATTATAATCATTGTTTAAACATTTATCTTGTTGTTTTAAACCGATACTTTTTGAGAAACATTATTTCTTTTTGCCTACTAACAATCAAGTTTCAATCTAAAACGAATTTATTTACAATTTTTTTTTTATTTATTGGGCTATCAACTGAAAATATTACAATATTAGCTCAGCAAAATAAATATCAATAATAAATAAGTCAACAACAAATCGCAAGGAATAGTGATACATTTTCTCAATGACTGCAGAACTCTTTCAAAAACACCAGATTCGTTTCTTATTTAGTTACACCCAGCAATTATCCGCCCCAATGGACCTTGTGGAAATAAATGGATTAGTCCATCAAATTGCTCATCAAAATTTAGCTCTGTATACCAAATTTCATTCATTTATCACAACGCGATTGAGAGATATTGCAAAAAAATGATTTCCATTCCTCCCTCTTCAATGGGTCCCTGTGCCCTTAGGAAGCATTTCCGGACCCATGTTCATATGAACTTTTTTACTTAGTTTTGATCATAGAATCGGCCTGTTCAGGGTTGGCAGCTAATTATGAGACACCCTGTATTAGTAATAATATAATCTGCATTATCTATTACTTGAGGACATAGGTGAATTAAATGGCAAAAGAGAGAAACAACGAAAGGAAATTATTTGATAATGATCTACACTACAAGGTTCGAAAATAAAAAATTTGACGATGTAAACATCGTTCTTTATTGTTTTAATCCCAAAGATAACAGCACCGTTAGGATCAAAACATTCATTTTAGGTCCAGTCAGTAGTGACATAAAAAAAAGTGCAAAGCGGTCTAGAAAAGTTCCTAGGGTGTCAACATTTCGGACAACATGGTAGGTAATATACAAAGCAACCGATACGTATCAAGAATTACTATCGTTCATGCGTCCATGCATGAACTTGATATTTTGAAATGAAATCTTATCTGATATCTAAACTTTATCGAATGTTTCACATTTGGGTGTTTTCTTAACTTTTTTGTTTGACGATACTATTTAATTTTAATATTACTACAGTACGAGATATTTTCTGTAAACATAATCCATATTACATTTTTAACACCTGATATTACAACAACTGGTCAAAATTTTATCCACCGACATTTGGGTCCGTCTTATTCAGTTTCTACGAACTAACACAAATGTTGTCTTGCCTCACTAAATTAAAACGACATCCATCAACTCCGAGTTGCTATACACGCAAGCCATTTTTGACACTAACTACTAGAAAACTATTGTAAACACCACACATAAGAGGTAAACACTAACGCAACGACCACGTGGCTCTCCACGCGTATTGAAAATGACGATAGAGACTACAGTTGTCCACATATGTAATGGTTGAATGTACTACAACTTTTAGATATTGACTTCATTTCTCATGCTGCATGTATTCTCAAATTTTTTGTGAAGTTGTGAATTACCCTGTACAGTATGCTTGGATTTAAACATTTACATTTCATTCATTCTTTCGGATTATTTCAAAATACAAATCAACTAAAATGTTCCTGCTTTTGTACATTTCCCTTTTACGGGCGAACTCTCCCACTTCTGATGTTAAAGGAGAGACACAATCTCAACGACATGAAACCTGAGTCATAATTAACTTATCTGACTCAAAAATGCAGTGATTAATATGGTCTCTAGTAATTATTCCAATTTCGATATAAATACGTTATGTTTTCGTTAACAAATAAAGAAGACATATAGGTTCAAAGTTGGCAAAAGCACAATTCGCACTAGAGTGATCTTTAAGGTGACCTACCCCAAGTATGACTTTGAGCTTTGAGGATTAACGTATGTTAATCTCATTGCACACCAATGATTATAGACTAAAAAATTTAATAAATGGGCAGCAAGGAATTTAAATTTGGTCCCGGTTTGACCCTACAACGAACAATTTTCATGCTACGCGAGAAAGTGTTGGGAAAAGTTTCATCAAAAAAACACATATCTTCACATCAAATACATGATTAGTCCGTATGAATACCATCCAAAAACTAATTCGCCTGACTGTATCGTACTTACGTAGTACGTAATAACAATTGAGATATGTGTTGAGTGACCCAAGGTCAATTCGTTTAATTTGTTTACATTTATTAACACTGACCTATGGAAAAGGAAACTGCACATCGCATACTTAAATCTCTTATACAGGGTCTAATAGATTAGAGCATACATCATTATTAATTTATTTTTCACAATTTTCATACATATTTCTACAAGTATCGTGTCACGGTAGCTTTTTCCCTCAACAACTTTTATTAAAAAAGATTTTCGGTATCTCATTTCATTTAAAAGATATAAAATGATATCTATAGAGAAAACCAGTGGTTCGATCGGGTCTGTTACGTCGTTTCATGTCTCTTGAACAGAAACAGATATCTAAAAATTTATTTTATGAAAGTTGTTGTGAAAAATAAACACTTTCATATTCTGTAAAAAAATAAATTTACAATTAATCTACTCTCCGTAAAACAGATCCGTTAAAAAAAATATTATTTTTTGATTCAATAAATCCTCAAAAACCCAGTTAGCCTTGTATTTGCGCCAATCTTAGGGCCTTTCGGTTTGGTAAAAATAGTAGCTATTAATAGCAACTTAGAGTTACTCTGAACTGATATTAGTTGCTAATAGGTACTATTTTTGTCGAAACGAATGCCCTCTTGTCTCACTCTGTATAAGCCCAAATTATCTCGGTGTAACAACGAAATATAGAACTGACCTTATCGCTGTCTCAAATTCGTTGCTTATTTCCAAATCATTCAGTTTGTGTATGGTCGCGGTGTAGTCGGCTCATAAAATTTTTTTAAATCTATAAAAAACTATAAACTCGACACCAAATATAAAAATACATTTTTGCTAATTTATAAATTCGAGATGTGTGCGCGTTAGTAATGTTTATAGACATCATTTGAGGTAAGGTCTAATTTATTAATAATAATAATAAGTAGACACGCTATCTAATAGCCTAATAAATTGTATTCTCTTTTATGAGATATTATTATTTATAAATATATTTATTTATTTTCTAAATGCAACAAGATAAAAATATTAAGACCATAAATATACACGATGTAATATTTAAGGCGGATTCTTCCATTACTCTGGCAATATCAATAATACACAAAAAGTTACACCAACCAAATTTGTTGAAATTAACTTTTATTGATTGATTGATTTATTTATTGATGGATTGTCTCGTTTCTACCAGGCGTTATCTAACTCGCTAATTTGATCAAAATACTAAAAATATATTAGGTCTAAAACGTACAGTTTCAGATTTATTTGACGTTCTTAGTGTTGTATACAGTGTAGCTCAAAATGATGAAACAAAATTCATATTTTTTCCAGGTCAGCTGAAACAGGTCAATTAGTAAATAGAAATTGTCACTTTTCTGCGACAATTTTTTATATTTTATAGTATAATAAAGAATTAAGCGATATATAAGGTTATACCTACTTTTCTGTCATAGTATTTAAAAAATGGAGGAATTAAATGAAAACAATAATTTAGTAGGTACTACTTTTTATTTTATTACAGCATATGTTCAAAGTGGTCCCCATTAACTATTACACAATGCCCAAGTCGGTGTTCAAAGTTATCATTTACATTTTGAATAACATTGGTTTTATGTTTTGAACTTATTGATTGATTTTTCAATCATTCGATACTGTCTGCTCTGTTCACATACACTTTGCTTTTTAGATAACCTCACAAAAAATAATCTAGTGGGGTTAAGTCAGGGAAGCGTGGCGGCCATTCAAGCGGCCCTCTTCTGCCTATCCATCGATTTGGGAAAACTTCATTAAGGTAATTTCCTACATCAAGGCGAAAATGTGGAGGAGCACTATCTTGTTGGAACCAGACATCACCAGCAGGCTTATCGTGCTCATTAGGGTTAGGAAAAATTAATTCCAAGGCTAAAATCAGCTGAAAACGCAAAAAATCCTATTAAATGTCGTCTGTCAAATTGCCCTCAAAGAAATAAGGTCCCAGTATGCGATTTCCTACTATTCCAGCCCAAACATTTACTTTTTCCGACCATTGGGTATGTTTTTCTTGCATGCATGCGGATTTTCTGAGCACCAAGACCTAGTATTTTTTATATTTGTTTAAATTTACCAATCGATCTGTTTTTTTTTGAAGCGTCTTTCCAAGAAATTTTAAAACCTGCTTTAAAAAATTTGAATTGATTGAATATTAACAAAGATATTCTAATTGTTTATAAGTACAAAAATTCGACCAATGTTTAAACAAGCGACAGAGCTCTCCTAATTGACGGATTCGAATTTTTCAAAAAATGTTTTTTTTTAAAATCTGAATTGCAAAAATTATTATGCAATATCTATTGCACCGATGTTGATGAAATTTGGTGTGATGATTCTACATAACATAAAGTTTTCTTGAGCCAAGTATAAAGCTCCTATACCCAATTTAAATACCCCAAAAAAATTCCCTAAAAAAAAATTTTGTTTTTTAACCCCATTTTTGCGATTTTTTCGATTTTTACCATAATAATCATGATTCATTCGATTTCTAACTAGTCATGTTTTGTAAAAAATTTAATTACAAACCTCTTCCATTTTCGCCTAAAATCAACTCTTGAAAAGATACATATTGTGCCGTCAAGAGTTAAGCCCACGTNGTTAGGAAAAATTAATTCCAAGGCTAAAATCAGCTGAAAACGCAAAAAATCCTATTAAATGTCGTCTGTCAAATTGCCCTCAAAGAAATAAGGTCCCAGTATGCGATTTCCTACTATTCCAGCCCAAACATTTACTTTTTCCGACCATTGTGTATGTTTTTCTTGCATCCATGCGGATTTTCTGGGCACCAAAACCTAGTATTTTGCCCGCTCACGGTTTCGTTTAAGCAAAAAATTGCTTCGTAAGTGAAAATTATGTGATTTTTTAAGTTTGTTTTTCTAATAAATTACTAATTTCCTCGCAAAACTGTAATCTTCTGTCTGTGTCATTTGCCCATAGTTATTATAAGACTTTGTAAAGATGCCACTTTTGAGACTTCAGAGTTCTGTCAACTAAGCACTTCAACAAGTTGAAGTTGGCTGAGATAGATCTAATGGATGAGTGAGGATTTTCAGCAACGGCGAGCATCACATTTTGTTTTACAAATAATTCTTTCCGGTGTTGCCAGATTTCTGCAGTAGCTACCAAAACGATATTTGTTTAAATGGCTAATTTACCAATCGATCTGTTTTTTTTTAAAGAAGCGTCTTTCCAAGAAATTTTAAAACCTGCTTTAAAAAATTTGAATTGATTGAATATTCACAAAGATATTCTAATTGTTTATAAGTACAAAAATTCGACCAATGTTTAAACAAACGCCAGAGCTCTCCTAATTGACGGATTCGAATTTTTCAAAAAATGTTTTTTTTTTAAAAAAATCTGAATTGCAAAAATTATTATGCAATATCTATCTCACCGATGTTGATGAAATTTGGTGTGATGATTCTACATAACATAAAGTTTTCTTGAGCCAAGTATAAAGGTCCTATACCCAATTTAAATACCCCAAAAAAATTCCCTAAAAAAAAAAAATTTGTTTTTGAACCCCATTTTTGCGATTTTTTCGATTTTTACCATAATAATCATGATTCATTCGATTTGTAACTAGTCATGTTTTGTAAAAAAATTAATTACAAACCTCTTCCATTTTCGCCTAAAATCAACTCTTGAAAAGATACATATTGTGCCGTCAAGAGTTAAGCCCACGTTTTTTTATGCGCATAGAAAAATTTTCATTTCTAGTGATATTTGAAAGCCAAAAAGCCAGAAATCTCCGTGGATATACGATTTACCAAAATATGGCTTTTAGAAACAGATACCGTCTGGACTATTATCTACTAATTAACCCATTTCAGCAATTTTTTAAAATCTGACTTGATAAAAATATGAATTTTGTTGCATCATTTTGGACACACTGTATTTTCACAATTTAAATTGTAGAAGCAACTGTAGTAATTTAAGCAACAATTTATTGATAACGACAATGATAATGATAATTGTTAATCTCTTTACTTCGTTCGACACAATCATTTTTTTAAAGTAATAAATAATATATATTATTAAATGCAGATTTAAACAATTATTGAATATTCTGTCAACTAAACATGTTGTTTTCGTACTACTAAACAAAATACACATCACGACTTTACACCGAGACAAATGTACCTACTGAAAACGTCATCTTTATTTCAGATCTTCCCCTGCATAAATAAAGTTTTAAACCAGTCGTTGAAAACCAGCACCATGTTGATGATAATAATTGTTGCATCGATTGCAGTGGTAACTTTCTTTTACTACTACATTAATAAAAGACAGAACTACTTCAAAGACCGTGGCATTACCCAAGGAAAACCTACGTTTTTATTCGGCCACACTTTGGGAACCTTAATACACACTAGAACATGGACAAGTGTTGTGCAAAGTGTTTACAACCAGAGTCCTGGAACAAGGTAAGAACATAAATCAGCAAGAGTGCCGTTTACATGCCACGTGACAAACTGTTACGTATACCCTTGAGATAATACGATCGCTGATTGGTTGAATAGAATCCAGCGAAAAAGTGCACCAATCACCAGTCTGTGAAACAGATTGTTGTGTTTTAATGTAATCTTGATCTTATTGTTTTATTAAGATTTAATTCCTGGTCATGGTGCTCGTTTCTGATAATTTAAAAACTGTTAATTTTGATATAGTTTGAGTTAAGCTAAAGACATGGAGCTACTCCAAGTGCTTGTTTAAACTGAAGTGTTCCAATTTTCAGTAGACAAATGAGAAAGTGTTTAAGAACGTTTGATTATTACATTCTTTATTCTTCTCAATGAACAATTTTGATACAGACGCAGCTATGTACTATTTCTGTATATTTCAGATACACCGGATTGTACAACTTCCACTGGCCAGTATTGGTCATAAGGGATCCGGAGCTACTGAAACAAGTGTCTATCAAGGATTTCGATCACTTCACTGACCATATCACTTTCATGCCAACAGATGGTGATCCGTTATTCTCAAAAAGTTTATTCGGCCTCCATGGTAAAACTTCAGTCATATTATTTAGGTCTTTGTTCAACTGCCTGTTTTAGCTTATACAAGATATTTCATAACTATACCGAACAGCACTTGTTTAGNGGTAACTTTCTTTTACTACTACATTAATAAAAGACAGAACTACTTCAAAGACCGTGGCATTACCCAAGGAAAACCTACGTTTTTATTCGGCCACACTTTGGGAACCTTAATACACACTAGAACATGGACAAGTGTTGTGCAAAGTGTTTACAACCAGAGTCCTGGAACAAGGTAAGAACATAAATCAGCAAGAGTACCGTTTACATGCCACGTGACAAACTGTTACGTATACCCTTGAGATAATACGATCGCTGATTGGTTGAATAGAATCCAGCGAAAAAGTGCACCAATCACCAGTCTGTGAAACAGATTGTTGTGTTTTAATGTAATCTTGATCTTATTGTTTTATTAAGATTTAATTCCTGGTCATGGTGCTCGTTTCTGATAATTTAAAAACTGTTAATTTTGATATAGTTTGAGTTAAGCTAAAGACATGGAGCTACTCCAAGTGCTTGTTTAAACTGAAGTGTTCCAATTTTCAGTAGACAAATGAGAAAGTGTTTAAGAACGTTTGATTATTACATTCTTTATTCTTCTCAATGAACAATTTTGATAGAGACGCAGCTATGTACTATTTCTGTATATTTCAGATACACCGGATTGTACAACTTCCACTGGCCAGTATTGGTCATAAGGGATCCGGAGCTACTGAAACAAGTGGCTATCAAGGATTTCGATCACTTCACTGACCATATCACTTTCATGCCAACAGATGGTGATCCCTTATTCTCAAAAAGTTTATTCGGCCTCCATGGTAAAACTTCAGTCATCTTATTTTTGTCTTTGTTCAACTGCCTGTTTTAGCTTATACAGGATGTTTCATGACTGTACCGAACAGCACGTGTTTAAGGCCTTAAATTATTATGCCGATTTGTTATGTATCAGCAATGCCAAATTTGGTACATGAGTTGCGTGTATTATTATATTTAATTGATAAAAATATGAATTTGTTATAAGCCCAATAAGGGCCGGAATAGGGGTAGGGTGCCCTTAAAATCATATCGATGATTTTTTTTATCAGTATGCCAATTATTAAATAGTTTTATCAGTATTACAGGAAATTTGATTTAAATTTTTTTTACTCTTACAAATTTTTTGAAAAAATAACGGTTCGTGAGAAAATCGGGATTTTGTGAAACAGCAACATTACTAATCGAATCGGACAAAAAGTAAAGTATGCAGTTTCACAATTTGTTGACTAGATTTCATGTGCCATTTACAAAAAAGGTATCAAGAAAAAGCATTTTCATTAAATTAGATTCTTTATTTTGTTTTTAACATTTTAAAAAAGAGGAACCTCACAAACAAAACATTAATAAATTCAACTTTAACCACATGAACTACCGATATCGTCAAACAGCGCTATATTAACTGTTGAAAACGGCTATCATTTTCTGTAATACATAAATTTACCCTTCGCCAAGAATTAAAGTCTACCCTGCGCAATAACTGTAGATTATTTTTTATGGCGTTGCATTTGTTATTTATACGATTCCATAAATATGCTTCAGATACAACCGGTGTAAAATAAACAAATTCTTTTATTTGCTCCCACTATAGTAAATAGACTATTAATATATTTGTTTAAGGAGATTTCGAGTTATAAGTAGTACATATTTTATAAACAAATAAATAGAAATATTTGATAAACAATACATTTTATTAATTATTATGAATGAATATTTATAGTAATTGTACAGTTATTACACTTAGTAACATTTATAAAATCTGGATAATTATTCCCCTCGTGTTTACTAATTGTCACATTTTTCTCAAAATGATTTAACCACTCCATTTCAGTCACCTGAGGCTCAATATTATCTGACTGATCCCTTAAAACAGTACTACTATAGTAGGCTCGTATACGATGCAAAGTAGAGCAAAAAATTGTCGGCCTTTTATCAAAGGAAAATCGTGTCATCATTTTTAGGAGGCGTAAGATAAATCATTTCAAATTTAAAATGAAATTNGGTGATCCGTTATTCTCAAAAAGTTTATTCGGCCTCCATGGTAAAACTTCAGTCATATTATTTAGGTCTTTGTTCAACTGCCTGTTTTAGCTTATACAAGATATTTCATAACTATACCGAACAGCACTTGTTTAGGTCCTTAAATTATTATGCCGATTTGTTATGTAACAGTTATCGTTGAAGAGATATTGGTCTCTGAAGATGAGTGTTAAATTTTGAAACACAATAATATTTCAGAAAATCCTTTACATAGAGCAACCAAATTTGGTACATGGGTTGCATTTATTATTATCTTTAAATGGTAAAAATATGAATTTGTAGGAAGCGCAATAAGGGCCGGACTAGGGGTACGGTGCCCTTAAAATAATATCGATTTTTTATCAGTATTCCAATTATTAAATAGTTTTATCAGTATTAAAGGAAATTTAATTTAAATTTTTTTTTACTCTTACAAATTTTTCGAAAAAATAAATCAAATCGGACAAAAAGTAAAGTATACAGTTTTACAATTTGTCGGCTAGATTTCATGTACCATTTTTGACGTTTACAAAAAGTAATAAGAAAAAGCAATTTCATTAAATTAGATTCTTTATTTTGTTTTTAACATTTTAAAACAACAGGAACCTTACAAACAAAATATTAATAAATTCAACTTTAACCACATGAACTACCGATATCGTTAAATAGCACTACAATAACTGTTGAAAATGGCCGCCATTTTCTCTTATACATAAATTTACCCTCTGCCGAAAGTTAAAGTGTACAATACGCAATAACTGTGGATTATTTTTTATGACGTTGCATTTGTTTTATATACGATTTCATAAATATGTTTCAGATACAACCGGTGTAAAATAAACAAATTCTTTTATCTGCTCCCACTATAGTAAATAGACTATTACATTTATATACATTGTTTTTAAGGAGGTAAGTGAATTTTACCGTAGAAGCGGAAGTTGCTATGGAAACGGGAGGTAAGTGAGGTAACTACCTCCCTAGGAAAAAAGCGTTTTCGAGTTATAAATGCATATTTTAGAAACAGATAAATGGAAATATTTGAACATTACATTTTATTAATTATTATGAATGAATATTTATAGTAACTAGTTAAATAACTAGTGAACAAGTATAAACTTTTCCAGTGTATGTAGATGCGGTATGTAATATTCTACGTATTTTTTTAATGAAACCATTACATTTGTAAATTTCTTTTATAAATTATGGAGTTGTTCCTTTGTCTTATAATGTTTGTCTTTTGCATAATAGTTTTTTACATAAATACTGTGATCCATCATAATTTTAAGAGATTTAAAAAATACATTTGTTTAAACAGCTATGCAGATGTTTGACTTAGATTGATAAAACTTGGATCGAGAATTCAGTTAAAACTCACTGAATACAAATTTATGAACCAGTGACGGTGATATTGAATGGATTTTTTTTTAAAATTTCGACACCACTCAGTATTTTGATTCATATATAGATTTAAAAAATATACAATATAATACATTATTTTTATTAAATTCTAAATGTAGGTACAGTATTTTTCTCAGATTTATTTATTTTTTCTCAGTTGCTGCCATCATTTTAATAATATGTGTCTGATTTTACCTTTTTTACTCTCTGTTAAAATTGCTAATTGCAGCTTTATACAGTCAGTGAGTTAATTTATGAAGTTGATGAATTTATTAAATATGTATATCGCAAATGTATTACGCATTTTTTTATTGTAATTAGGTAATCAGTATTTTTTTATTAATTTTGAATATTAGTGGCTGAAAACGTACATAGTTGCGCGAAACTAAATGTGTACAAGACATAGCTAGTACCATGCGAAACATCGCCATAATTTTAAAAATGTTGTCACCGCCGTTTTTGGGGGTGAAAATTCGAAATATTTAGAATTATTCAAATTTCGTGGCTGTAAATGTACGTGGGTATTGTATTTTTGAAACCGAGTGAAACTTTCATATACAACCAACTTTTATCTGCTCCTACTATAGTAAATATTAATACATTGTTTTTAAGGAGGTAAGTGGATTTTACCGTAGAAGTGAAAGTTGCTATGGAAACGGAAGGTAAGTGAGGTAACTACCTCCCTAGGGAAAAAGAGTTTTCGAGTTATAAATGCATATTTTATAAACAAATAAATAGAAATATTTGATGAACATTACATTTTATTAATTATTATGAATGAATATTTATAGTAATTGTACAGTTATTACACTTAGTAACATTTATAAAATTTCCCTCGCGTTTACTAATTGTCACATTTTTCTCAAAATGATTTGACCGCTCCATTTCCAGTCAGTTGAATATTATCTGACTGATCCCTTAAAACAGCACGATGCAACGTACTACTAAAACCTGGAGTTGAAGTGTCATTGTAAAGAATCCTGTTGGCTATTTCAATTTTGTTACTGAAACTGTCAGCAACATAACTTTCTGCAATTGTGGCTGATTTCCACCCACCATGTCTCTTGATTGCTAATACATCAACTCCAATAATTATTAGCCAATAATGTTGCCGATGTTCTTCGGAATGAATGGCCTGTGTATGTTTCAGGATGTTCTAATTTCAGAAACTGTGCAATCTTATTTGGAATCATAGAAACGGTATTCTTGCCGACTGGTTGGTTGTAACATGTATCTGCTTGATAGCGTATAAAAAAGCGTGAAATTTCTGTTTTAATTTCCAATCTAATCTTGTTATATTTCTTGAGAATTTCTAGATGAGAAACAGAACCCAGACGAGAAATAATTGTAAACGTATGTGACATACCATTTTTAGAATCTGGAATTGTAACTACAATAATGTCATCGAAATTTCTGAAATTGACGTTGTCCAAAGTAAGTTTGCATAACTCATTAGAACGGCAAGCTCCTGCAATGCCTAAGACCGTCATTACCTTCGTTAACAAATATGTGTTATCGGGTGCTTGAACGAGAAAATCGTTGACTTGTTCTCTTGTAACGTTTGACTTTTTAGGTGTATAGCCGGTCGTTCTTACGTTTCAAAAATGCTATCAGCTTGGAGTATTTTGATATATCCACTTTCTTCTCTATGAAAATAGTTGACTTAATCATTGAGTATTCACTCCACAAACTCGCCGGTGACTTTAAAGTTCTTGAGTTCTCCATGAAATATGCTAGTAGTGACATTTCATAAACACCGGTATTTTTGTTCTGGCACCATTCTTTGAAATTTCTATATGCTTGTCCGTAATGCACTTTTGACTTCTCGGGCAATAAAAATTCGCAGGCATTTGCTACACTTTGTATCTGAAAATCACTCATTTAGAAATAATAATTCAAAACCAGCAAAATTGCAACTTTTATATAGCTTTGTTTATAAACACCTTAGAAACGACAAAATCCAAACAACCAAGGCGACCTGCAAGATTTCGAACAATGTCGAAATTAATTCATTAAGAAATGTCAAAAAATAAAACCTAATCTTTATTTCATGAACCATAAAAAAACTGTGGGAGCAGATAAAATGTATACACCACGCAGCAGTTAAGTACAATTTACTTCCTTTATGGCGTAAATAACTATTAAAGCCCCCCAGAGAAAAAAGCACATTTGTTCAGAACTTATGATTTTGGTCAATTTTCTGGATCATTTCCTCGTCCTATCCTAAAAAAAATGTTACATAACAAATCGGTATATCATAAGATCTTCAACACGTGCCTGCTCTGTGTCGGTAGAATTATGAAACACCCTGTATAAATCAAAACGGCCTTGCTCGATGTTGGCTATTGCGCAAGAACTTTTACATCATCTCTTTCTAGGTCGGGAATGGCGAGAGATGAGGACTCTCTTAAGTCCTTGCTTCACGAGCAGCAAAATGAAGTTCATGTTCAACCTGATAACTGAGAGCGCGGAAAATTTCGCGCAGTATTTCCTGAAAAAAGACGAGGACCTTATAGAAGTCGAAATGNATAGAATGGAAACCAGTTAATAAATATAACAGCACATCAGTATCGTTATCGTATCGTATGTAAACTAAAAATAATAAATGTTTTTAAGATCGTTTTCTAATGTGAAGCGGCCAGTTTACTTACCGATGACGTCGCACCAATAGCAACTCGTTCTACGACACGCCCCTACAGGATGTTCATCTCCAAATTTCAGCATACGATTTAGTCAATTTTCGAGTAGAATTTTTCACAAAATATTTTATAATTAATAATTTTAAATAAGGCCATATTTAAATATGTGGACTAATATAAAAAATCCGGCATGTGCAAGAGGCCTATTGTGGCTGATTTCTAATACATCAACTCCTGTATTAGCCAGTAACGTTGCCTATGTTCTTCGGAATGAATGGTCTGTATATGTTTCAGAATAAGGCCATATTCAAATATCTGAACTAATATAAAAAATCCGGCATGTGCAAGAGACCTATTGTGGCTGATTTCCACCCCCATGTCTCTTGATTTCTAATACATCAGCTCCTGTATTAGCCAGTAACGTTGCCGATGTTCTTCGGAATGAATGGTCTGTATATGTTTCAGGATGTTCTAATTTCAAAAACTGTGCAACCTTATTAGGAATCATAGAAAGGGTATTCTTGCCGACTGGTTGGTTGTAACATCTACCTGCTTGATAGCGCATAAAAAACGTGGAATTTCTGTTTTAATTTCCAATCTAATCTTGATATATTTCTTGAGAATTTCTAGGTGAGAAACAGAACCCAGACGAGAAATAATTGTAACCGTACGTGACATACCCTTTTTAAAATCTGGAATTGTAACTACCATAATGTCATCGACATTTTTGAAGTTGACGTTGTCCAAAGTAAGTTTACATAACTCATCAGAACGGCATGCTTCTGCATTGCCTAAGACCGTCCGTCATTACCTTCCTTAGCAAATATGTGTTATCGGGTGCCTGGACGAGAAAATCGTTAACTTGTTCTCTTGTAACATTTGACTTTTTAGGTATATAGCCGTCATTCTTATGTTTCAAAAATAAAAATTCGCAGACAGCATTTGCCGCACTTTCTATTTGAAAATCATTTAGAAATAATAATTCAAAACCAGCAAAATTGCAACTTTTATATAGCTTTGTTTATAAACACCTTAAACACAACATAATCCAAACAACCAAGGCGACCTGCAAGATCTCGAACAATGTCGAAATTAATTGATTAAGAAATGTCAAAAAATAAAATCTAATCTTTATTTTATGAACCATAAAGAACTATGGGAGCAGATAAAATGTTATACACCACGCAGCAATTAAGTACAATTTACTTCCTTTATGGCGTAAATAACTATTAAAGCCCCCCAGAGAAAAAAGCACATTTGTTCAGAACTTATGATTTTGGTCAATTTTCTGGATCATTTCCTCGTCCTATCCTAAAAAAAATGTTACATAACAAATCGGTATATCATAAGATCTTCAACACGTGCCTGCTCTGTGTCGGTAGAATTATGAAACACCCTGTATAAATCAAAACGGCCTTGCTCGATGTTGGCTATTGCGCAAGAACTTTTACATCATCTCTTTCTAGGTCGGGAATGGCGAGAGATGAGGACTCTCTTAAGTCCTTGCTTCACGAGCAGCAAAATGAAGTTCATGTTCAACCTGATAACTGAGAGCGCGGAAAATTTCGCGCAGTATTTCCTGAAAAAGGACGAGGACCTTATAGAAGTCGAAATGAAGAATGCTTTCTCTCGCTTTTCCAGCGACGTAATCGCCACCGCAGCTTGTGGGATAAAAGTCAATTCTTTGGAGAATCCAAAAAACGAGTTTTACTTGATGGGGCAAAAGTCTATAGATTTTGGCAATATCTGGAAGAACATAAAGTTCCTTCTGTACCTTTTAATACCACCCATCAAGAATGTAAGTTAAATAATGCGGTTTGTAGCTTTTACATATTAGTACAGTTATTGAAGCTTTTCACCTCCGAATTCTTTGAAACTGAAGCGATCGATTTGAAATTTGGCAGATAGTTAGAGAAAAGGTCAATGAACATTAGTGACATAGCGCCGATTGATGCTTCCACCCTGTTGGGGGTTGACACCCCTTCTCGGGGGTGGAAAATGTTTTTCAAAAATAACGCTGGAAATCGAGAATCAAATTTTGAGCAAAAAATATTCGAAGAATTTTTTGGAGAAATCAGTACTTTTTTAGTTATTCACAACTGAAAACTTGAAATTTTGAGTGAAAAAAAAAAACACTTTTTCACAAAGTATTTTTCGCGAATAACTCAAAAACTACGCATTTTATTAAAAAAAGTGCAATGAACAAAAATGTAGTTTATAAATAAACAAAATTTTTTAAAAAGTGTTGTACGTCCTATACAAAGCGAAATATGGTTAGTGGAAGAGGACTTGTTTTGGGGGGAATATTCGAATCGATGTATTCAACGACAAATAACAGAAAAAGGATTAATTTTCCGTGTATAACGCTTCTGGAGTTTTTTGTAGTACCCAAAAAGACCTTCAAAATGAGTACTTATAAAAGTTAATGAGAGCAAAATTGAAGGAGTTATCGTCAAAAACAGATGGGTAACTCATATTTTTTTAAGGAAAAATGAGCAGTAAACGCTGTACCATTTCCATCAGAAATAAAATTAATCGTAGACCCTTTACAATTAGTTTTGTTTTAGTATTTTTCATACGATCCTGAAGTTAGACCGGTTTAGAATGCGTATTTTTTTAATAATGTACGGTAAAAGTTGAAAACGTATTTTTCATTATTCAAAAAAAATTGCCTTATTTATATAATAACTCTGAAACTATCAAAGATACGTAAAAAATGATAGATAACAAAAATGTAGCTTTTTTTCAACAAATATTTTGCTTTTTTTTATTCCTATAGCATAAAAAATAAAGGAGATATCGCCGCTTGAAGTATTAATTTTAGTGAAAAGACGACCTGTCTCGAGCCCTTTGATCCTTTCCCTTTAAAAAACCAAGGACTTAAAAAGCTTTATATGCAAACGATCTTACGGCTCTTGAAATTATATTTAAAATGCTTTTTTGCAGGATACTATAGCTTCAAAATTAACCGAGTTAGGGTAAAAAACCAATGACATTTTTTCGAAGCAAAATAGGCTTTCTCACTTTTATATATTGTATTATTATACAAATAAAATAAGTAAAAAAATTTATTGTGATTATTAATATGCAGCGTAACAATTTTTTTATGATTGATTATATTTAAAAATCGATTATAATAAAAATATTTTACATTAATATTGGTAAACGGGTAGTTTATAAGAGTTGAAAATGGCAAAAGTAAAATATTCTTTCATAAGCAATATAAGGGAATTTTTATTTTAAATTATTGCACAATTATAGCATCCCAAGATTTAAAACGCAATTTTTTATCATTTTTTTAGCAGGGGTGATTTATAAGGGTTGAAAAGTGTTATGAGATACAAATTTTTTCAAAAGCAATGAGGGAATTTTTATTTTAAATAATTGCACCGTTAAAGCATTCCAAGCTTTTAAAAAGTAATTTTTTATAATTTTTGTCAATACAGGAGTGGTTTTTAGGGGTTGAAGGGGAAAAATTATTTTATTAGCTATAAGGTAACTTTTATTTTAAATAATTGCACGATTTAATCATTCCAAATATTTAAAAAGTAATTTTTTATCAGTATTTTTGCATAGGAGTAGTTTTTAACGGTTAAATAAAGGGTCGAAAAGATCAAATACATCATAAAATATGTTCGAGAACATAGAACATTATTTAATCTTTGTGCTTGAACAAGATTTTATCGATAAAATGCTTAAAACTCATTTTTTTCACTCAGGGGTAGTTTTTACCCCTGAAAAACATGAAGCGTCAATTGGGCTTATGTCACTTTTGAGCCTAAGATGAGCCTTATTCTAAATTTTCACGCAAATCCATACAGAAAGCCTTAAAGCAGTCGTTTTCGAACTTCAGAGTGTAACTCCTGTGTAACTTCCTGAGTGTAACCTAATGTAACTGTTTTAATTTTTAAACCGCTTGCGACATTTTTAATCGTTTGTGATATTTTTTGCGTTCCTGATATTTGTATGTAGTATTATGTATTCATTCAAACATTCCAGGTACTAAAAATACAGTTGCTTACGGACGACGTATCCACATTTTTCAGAGGTCTGATAGACGAAACCATCAAAGTGAGAGAAGAAAAGGGAGTTGTAAGACCAGACATGATACATCTCTTGTTAGAAACTCGTAAAGGAACCCACAAAGAAGAAACCAACGACGTCGATACAGGATTTGCTACAGCTCAAGAATCCCCTAGGAGCCTAGGTAATTTATTTGTTTCCTCGTACACGGTGAACAAAAAGGAATGTTTTAGAAAAAGAAAAAGTAAACAGAGTTCTGACAAATGAGGATATAACCGCCCAAGCCTTGCTCTTCTTCATCGCTGGTTTCGACTCTGTGTCATCAATGATGTGCTTCACCACCTACGAGTTGACCGTGAACCAAGATGTCCAAGAAAGACTTAGACAAGAGGTTTACTCCACTTGGAAAGCATGCAAAGGAAAGCTGACCTACGACGCACTACTCCAGATGAAATACTTGGACATGGTGATATCAGGTTAGTGTTTTCTCAATGTTTATATCTCAGTTACCAAATCTGGTCTTTTTAGAGACTTTAAGGAAATATCCCATCAACCCAGCAATGGACAGAGTGTGCACAAAGCCTTACACCATCGAACCTGCCTTACCAGGAGAAACTCCGGTACATTTGAAGGTAAACGACGCCATATGGTTGCCGACCTACGCCATACATCACGATCCAAACTACTACCCAAATCCAGACCGGTTTGATCCAGAGAGATTCAGTGACGAGAATAAGGGTGACATCAAACCCTACACCTACTTTCCCTTTGGTTTGGGTCCGCGTAACTGTATTGGTTCTAGGTTCGCTTTGTTGATGATAAAAGCCGTGATCTTCCACACCTTGTTGCACTTTGAACTGGTGCCTGTTGAGAAGACTGTCATTCCAGTTAAGTTTTCCAAGAAAACTTTCGGTTTGACCATGGAGGGAGGATTGTGGCTTGGTTTCAAAAAAACTAAAGACGGACAAGTTGCAATCTAATACTGTATATATGCATTTTTTTAATATATATATTTTTAATACATTTTTTTTGTTTTATATATCTACAAAGTGGTGCATTTTAAACTGGCTAAGTCCAAATCGCAATTAGAACATAAAAGTAAGGCGATTTTTTCATTCATTGTCGTTTATTTTTTAGATACAAAGCAACAAGGATCATTTTATAAAATTAAGTTGTACTGTTTACTATCTGTCTTAGCACAGACAATATAGCGTATCGCTACAGACTGCTACTTAAATGCTGGAAATTGGCAACCCGAAATGGAAGCAGGGTCTCCTTAGCCGGCTTCCAGCTATAAAATTTAGCGTGGTAACTCTTCTACTTGCCAATAGGCGGCAGTTCTCGCGGTGGCTTTGTTGCCAAATAATAACTGCTAAATAAATTTAATGCTTTCAATTATGTAATTAAAGA